TAAGGATCCTCAGTCCTGTAGCTCTCGGGTACACTTTGTTTTTGTCTTGCAGAGGGTGCTGATGCAGATTGTACAGGAGCTGTGCAAGAGGCCCGGGCTGAACAAATGCGGCTTCGACATGCCGACAATCTATATCCCCAACCCCAACAAGGTGAGGAGCGGCTGCATGACGATGTGTCACCGATACCTGACAACTTCCCTGCACTAATTGCGCGGCTGTTATGTGTACTTTGAGGTTTTTTTGTTCCACAAGTAAACAAGTGAAAGCATTTTATAGATGTATTCGCACCGCAGGTGAAAATAGATTTATTATCAGTGTCAGAAGAACATCGCAACAAAGACGCACATGGAGTATTGAGAATCATCCAGCCACACGGCACAGTCCTGTCTGGAAGGGGAGGGGACCTGATATTTCTCTGCTGCAGTTCAGTAACACTTACAGGTCTTGTCCCTCCCCCAGCTTGTGACTGAACCATGAAAAGAGAAGCAGCAGACTGATTAGCTCACCTCCCTGTCACGCTGCTTTTTCCTCCTCTTAGCATATGAGCATTGCAGCACAACTCATTGGCTTCTTTTGCTGCTTCTCCCTGCCCCCAGTCTGAGCTCTGCTATTCAGCCAATGTAAGAGGCTGACATTTAAAGGAGAACTATGAGGTGAGTGAAAATCACTCACCTCATAGTTTAAGCCGACGTGTGACAATGAAACTGTCACAGGTCGGCTCAGTAGATCGGGAAGTGAGAGAACACATAGCGTCACTCGCTCACTTCTCGATCATCTCCCTGCAGAGAGCCGTGACTGTCAGTCGCGGCTCCCTGCTGGGATTCCCCCCCTCCCCGCTCCGATCCTTCAGCGCTGACTGGAGAAACGGACAGGGGAGGGGGGCGGGTACAGCAGGCTCTGCCTCTAGATAGGCAGAGCCAGCTGTCACTCACGCAGCTGGGTGGATCTCGACAGCTTTGACGGGATCCGGCTGCGGCAGTCTCGGTATACCGTGAGCTGTAGTTCGCGATATACTGAGCTTTGGGTCACGGAGGACGCTATTATATGTCTTCCCGTGACCCTTAGGGTAACTATGGGGAAAAGCACTTACCTCATAGTTCTCTTAAGTCAAATGTAGGTACTTGCAATGCATTTTTAGAATATCTTACCAAAGACACACAGGGAATACTGAGAATCACCCAGCCGCACAGCTCTGTCTGGCAGGGGACCTAATATTTCTCTGCTGATGTTCAGTAAACTTGCAGGTCTTGTCCCACCTCCAGTATGTGACTGGACAGTGAAAGGAGAAGCAGCAGACTGATGAGCTCATCTCTCTGTCATTCTACTCTCTCCTCCTATCTGCATGCTCCTTGTTAGCATATGAGCATTGCAGCTCCAACTGATTAGCTCTTTGAGCTACGTTCCCTCCCTCATTCTGAGCTCTCCAATAGGCCGCTACTATGCCAAATGTAGGTATTTATATTGCTTGCATTTAAAAAAAGAATGTGTAATGATGTATTAATGATTACAAAGTTGCATTATTTTGTGTCTCATCTGCATGGAGTTCAGCTTTGAATGTATTTAATTTTTATTCGCAAACTTGAAAATTGAACCTCGAGATACATACAGGGAGCCCAGCCTACCAGCCGCGTGTTTCAGTGTTTGTCACATGTTTCTGGACTGCACTCGTCCACACAACTATCTTCTGTCTATATCTGGTGATCCTGGAACACACCTGCTTGGGAGAAGAAGCAGATAGCAGGAAGTGTGTTCCAGCATCCCAAGCAGGTGCGTTCCAGGATCGTCAGATAAAAAAAGTGGCAGTACTAGATCTCAATACTATCAGATTCAAAGGCATTGGATGTTTATTTATTATTGGTGCAGGAAGCAGAGAGAGAGGAAAGTGCACAGCACAGGCTTCAGGATGTATATACCGTATTTTTAGCTCCATAAGAAGCACCAAAAGGCGGGGGAAAATGTGTATACGTCTTATGGAGCGAATCCCTAGTTTTTTTTGTACATTTAGCCCTGCTAAAGCAGAGCTAAACGCACAGTGGAAGCCGCTGCTCATTTAATACAAGTGATCTATTCAGATCACTTGTATTAAAACCGAGCGGCAGCGGATCCTGAAAGCCAGCTTGATTCTCCCTCGTCACCTGGTGACGGGGGAGCATGGAGCTGGCTTCCGGCCAATCGGGAGGCTGGGCGCCGTGTAATGACTCACCGCCTAGCTTCCTGACTGGTCGGGAAGCCGGACGGCGAGTCATTACCCGCCCCTCGGCTTTTGGATTGGCCAGAAAGCCAGCTTAATTCTCCCTCATCTCCTCAGGGGGACCCGTGACCACGGGATAGGAGCTCACCATAGAGCCCCATCCGTTCTTCGTCTGCTCTGTGTGATCACTGAGACTGTGGCGCTGTCATCACAGCGCCACCTGTCTCAGCTGTCACTTACTGCAGCTTCTGTGACAGAAACGGCCTGCGTCCTATGTACCGGTGCGCCTTATAGAGCGCACAATGCGGTAGGTGTTTTTCCCTTCTTTGGCTTCCCCTGCAGCGTCCGCTCCATCAGGATCCTTTCCTAGAAGCCACTTTTAATACTGAATTATAAAGTGAAGTGTACTGATTGTATGATCCCTGAGGCACCCGTGTTAATCAGGAATTTATGTCTCTCCAGACGAGCCGCTGTGTTAACCAGATAGAAGATGTTTGTAAAACCACCGAGAAGACCATCACTCAGACAGTCCAGACCACACTGAACACGCTCGGGAGAGACTGCCAGAAGCTGACGGAGAGCATCGAGAAGGCCCTGCAGGAAGATGAGTGAGTGTATGGCATAAGGCTGACATTTATATATGTGTTATATACGGAGAGCCGCATCCCATAATCCTTTGCAGGGTGGTGAGCCATTGACGCTCCACATTAGTCTGCTTTGAATTTCCTGTGACACTTCTGATCACTCCTCATTTACAGCGAGACGGTCTGGAGGAACCGGCGCTCTCGGGTTCGGGGATGTCTCTTTGGTCTCTCCGGCTTTCTCCTCCCCCTTTTCCTCTTTGCCTCCGCCCTCTTTGGATCCATCCCGCATGAGATCTGGACCAGCTTGCTGGGCAAATCGGTGGCCGAGATCCTGGAAGTCTACCTGGTAAGCAGGAGAGTGTGGGTGGGGTCTCTGGCATAGACGCCATGACCATAACCAAGCCCTTTATTCTGAATAACACTAAGGATGCACCGATACCGTGTTTCCCCGAAAATAAGACAGTGTCTTATATTTTTTTTTTCTACGAAAAAAGACACTAGGTCTTACTTTCGGGGAAACACGGTACTAGCAATCGGTGCCGATGCAGAGTACTCGTACTCGCCCAAATGCTCCGATGCCTAGCCCGATACCTGAGCTTCCAGTATCGGGAAGCAAGGTGGCCGAGTCATTACACGCTGCCCGGCTTCCTGATTGGACGGAAACCCAGCTTCATGCTCCCATGTCACTTGGTGACGAAGAAGCATGGAGCCGGCTTCCCAGCCAACCAGGAAGCCGGGGGTCGTGTAATGACTCGCCGCCTAGCTGCCTGATTGGCCAGGAAGCCGGACTGCGTGTCATTACCCACCAATCGGCTTTCGGATTGGCCAGAAAACCAGCTTCGTTCTCCCTCATCACCTGGTGACGAGGGAGCATGGAGCCAGCTTCCCGACCAATCGGGAAGCTGGGCGCCGTGTAATGACTCATTGCCCGGCTTCCTGATTGGCCAGGGAGCCAATCCTGGTGACGAGGGAGCATGGCAACGGCTTCCCTGCTAATCGGGAAGCCGTGTGGCAAGTCTTTACACGCCGCCTCGCTTCCTTAATGGGACTTTCGGTATCGGCGAGTACCAAAAAAAAAAATATCGGTACTCTACCCTTGCATTATCGAGCCAACGTTTCGGGGCCACGCAGGTTCCAGGATGAACTTAGTGACCCTGCGTGGCCCCCGAAACGTTGGCTCTTTAATGCATGTGACGCGATTCTTCAATAAATGAACACGAGGGTTTAAGTTTATCGTTTGAGTGCCGGTGATCTTCATTATTACGAAGGGTGACAATGCAGGTGCACAATTCGGAGCCAGGGACAGTGTTGTCATCCTGTAACAGGAAGTGCCTGAATAAGGACCATCATGGCGGGATCACCAGGGATTAGCTGTATTTTTTAAAATGAGATTATCATCATAAAGCTTCTATGAGAGTCCAGTGATTGGTAACATCTACGGGAATGCAGGGCCCAGTAACCTTTTGGGGACAGTGGTAGGCTGTGTGACTTGGGTCTGATAAAGAACACATTGATGCCGATGTATGTGTCATGGTTCTCTTTGTTTTTCTAGTCTCCGTTTGAAAGCATTTGGTCCCTGGTGCCGGAAGATTATGTTCTTTATACCTTCTTGTCTCTTGCACTGCTGGCCACTTTGTTCCTGCTGCTGGCCCAGAGATGCTTCAGGTAAGTGGCCCTTAACTTGTTTTCAGAGGTGGCTACCCCGGGGTTCTTTTCTCATATTAGCTTTACTAAGTAGTCACTGACCTATTTACAAGGTTGCAGCCAGTGAAGTAGGAAGTCCCTGTATACAAGGGTCGGGGTCACTGGTTCATTAATCGGTAGAGCAATGGTGAGGACCGACCGAGAGTGTGCAGAGTAGCAAACCAATGACCATGGCAGTTCCCTTCTTTCAGTTCTGACAGGTGCTCTTTACATTTCCACATCCGGAAATACACAGGACTGCAATGTACAATATATTTATACTACGTCTTTATATAATACTAGTATAGAGTAATAAACCACAACTCTGACATATACCGCAGTGCTGTACAGAGAACACAGAGCCGGTCACATCGGTCTCTGTACAGAGGAGCTTACCCTCTAATGTCCCCTCCCCCCCAGTCACACACTATTATTATACATGTATATAGCTCTGACATATACCGCAGTGCTGTACAGAGAACACAGAGCCGGTCACATCGGTCTCTGTACAGAGGAGCTTACCCTCTAATGTCCCCTCCCCCCCAGTCACACACTATTATTATACATGTATATAGCTCTGACATATACCGCAGTGCTGTACAGAGAACACAGAGCCGGTCACATCGGTCTCTGTACAGAGGAGCTTACCCTCTAATGTCCCCTCCCCCCCAGTCACACACTATTATTATACATGTATATAGCTCTGACATATACCGCAGTGCTGTACAGAGAACACAGAGCCGGTCACATCGGTCTCTGTACAGAGGAGCTTACCCTCTAATGTCCCCTCCCCCCCAGTCACACACTATTATTATACATGTATATAGCTCTGACATATACCGCAGTGCTGTACAGAGAACACAGAGCCGGTCACATCGGTCTCTGTACAGAGGAGCTTACCCTCTAATGTCCCCTCCCCCCCAGTCACACACTATTATTATACATGTATATAGCTCTGACATATACCGCAGTGCTGTACAGAGAACACAGAGCCGGTCACATCGGTCTCTGTACAGAGGAGCTTACCCTCTAATGTCCCCTCCCCCCCAGTCACACACTATTATTATACATGTATATAGCTCTGACATATACCGCAGTGCTGTACAGAGAACACAGAGCCGGTCACATCGGTCTCTGTACAGAGGAGCTTACCCTCTAATGTCCCCTCCCCCCCAGTCACACACTATTATTATACATGTATATAGCTCTGACATATACCGCAGTGCTGTACAGAGAACACAGAGCCGGTCACATCGGTCTCTGTACAGAGGAGCTTACACTCTAATACCCCCCCCTATAGCTCTGACATACAGGCGTTCCTCTTACAATGATTACTATTCTCGGAGGTTTGCTATCCAATGTCCCCTCCGCAGTGTCATTTACATAACCGTTTTTTGTTTTCTCCTTCTCAGGACACGTCCAACTCTAAGCAAGAAACAGCGGCGATTCCTGCAAGACCGGCGTGCGTACGTCAACGAGGTGGTTCTTGAGAAAAAGGTGACGCATCTTCTGAATTTTTTAACTTAAGACAGTCACATGTTATAATCATTACCATCCAATGCAGATCTTCAATCCTTTGCCGAAAGACGTAATCCAAAGTTTTGAGTTGTCACTGGAGCAGGAAGAGAGAGAGAATTTTTTCCCATGAGGACACTTGTCTAAGAGGGGTGTTTCCCCAGTTTGGAGAGATTTCCTCTAACTTCCTGTTTTGTCTTAAAGATGGGAAGTGAAGTAGAGCCTCCTCCAATGGGACACGGCTTTTCTGATTCATTCCACAAGTTTTATCTTTACATATTAATTTATATTAAATGAAGCCCTTGCTGCTGGCTCACGCCGGCCCTTTGAGGGGTTTAAATGCCAAGAGTTCACAGACGAGCTTCTAGATCATGTGATCACTGTGACTGGCTGTCACGTGACCAGCAGCCCGCCTCCTGATGGTAAACCGGGACAGCTCAGTGATTGTGATGGGAGCACCAAGTGTGGGCATGCTTGGTACAGAACAGCGAAACTGGCTGTACCCATAAATGTGAAAGCCCACCTGCCATGCTGCTGCGTACACGGGTACCACCGGCGGGCAGGTGCTAGAAGGTTGCTGCTGCGTACACGGGTACCGCCGGCGGGCAGGTGCTAGAAGGTTGCTGCTGCTTACACGGGTACCGCCGGCGGGCAGGTGCTAGAAGGTCAAACAGTTTTAGTTGGATTGAAAAATGGCCGTCCCATTTGCAGACAGCTGGAGCAATACTCTCCCTCTCCGGCTCTCCCTCTCTCACACCTCCTTTTATTCTTTCACCTTTTGCAGAAACGACTGTATGAAGAGTATCTGAAGCAAAGCGTGGGCGACCACGACATGAGCTGACTTCCGGACAAGCCTGAGGACTGAGATAAACCCCAAAAAACGTATCATTCATCTTCCACTACTAACCTCTGCCCTACCACGGGGGCCATCTGAGATTGTTACAGCCATCAACACTACAGCCGCTCCTTCCCTCCCCTCCAGTGTCCTCGTCCCCCACCTTCCATATACCCCAATATTTCAGGCCAGTAAGGGCCTGTTCACACCAGATGCATGTATAATGGAAGCCATTCAGTTAACATGAATGAGTAATCATAAGGTCAATGCACCCAAAATGGCAACCTGGGGGCTTGTTTACAGCACTGCAGGTTGGTGTGATCAGGCTCCATAGAAAACAAAGGACTTTCTTGTGTCTCGCAGTATTTTCATGTTCAGTTAAAGGAGAAGTGCACTATCCCCGACCTAACCCACCGGCCCCCTCCTCACATGTATACTTGCCTCTATCTGTCTTGGCCCACTGGCCCTGTCTTGGCCCACTGGCCCATACACTTCTAAGACCCTCCCGCAAGTCTATGGGGCTGTAATGTGTGGACGCGGCCAGGACAGGAAACATTTCAGATCTGGGTATACACAAATGGCAGAACCGTGTCTGTTCGATCAAGGTAACTGTACATCTTTGGAGGGGGGGGTTAGGTGAACGGGTAAAAGGATAAGTGCAGTTTGTGTTAACGTTCACTTATCCTTTAGCACCCTCTCACTGGCATGATGCACTTATGTGTCACCCTGGCGGGAAGGCCTTAAAGGAGAACTATGGGGTCAGTGTTTTCCCCCATAGTTCTCCTAAGGGTAACGAAAGGACACAAACTAGCGTCCTCCCGTCACCCAAAGCTCAGTATATAGAGAGCTACAGCTCATTGTATACTGAGACACCGGAACGGATCCCGACATTACTGTCGAGATCCACCCAGCTGTGGGATTGACAGCTGGCTCTGCCTATCTAGAGGCAGAGCCAGCTGTACCCGCCCCCTCCCCAGTCTCATTGTCACAGGTCGGCTAGAACTATGAGGATCAGTGAAAAGCACCTCGCCTCATAGATCTCCTTTTAATGCCGGCTGTACGTAGATATACTTAATGCTGTTCTGCGCTGAGAGTGCGTTCATTAGCACACCCCCAGCACAGGAACCGAGCTGTCACTGTTTATGATCAGGATTCGGTGGGATGCAATCCTAATCATGTGATCTGGAGCCCCGCCTCTGTGTCTGGTCTTTAAGAACTCTTTAACGAGCCACTAAGGGGTTAAAATACTGTGGCAGACGGGCTGGGGACGCCCTGTAGGAGACGGGCTGGGGACGCCCTGTAGGAGACGGGCTGGGGACGCCCTGTAGGAGACGGGCTGGGGACGCCCTGTAGGAGACGGGCTGGGGACGCCCTGTAGGAGACGGGCTGGGGACGCCCTGTAGGAGACGGGCTGGGGACGCCCTGTAGGAGACGGGCTGGGGACGCCCTGTAGGAGACGGGCTGGGGACGCCCTGTAGGAGACGGGCTGGGGACGCCCTGTAGGAGACGGGCTGGGGACGCCCTGTAGGAGACGGGCTGGGGACGCCCTGTAGGAGACGGGCTGGGGACGCCCTGTAGGAGACGGGCTGGGGACGCCCTGTAGGAGACGGGCTGGGGACGCCCTGTAGGAGACGGGCTGGGGACGCCCTGTAGGAGACGGGCTGGGGACGCCCTGTAGGAGACGGGCTGGGGACGCCCTGTAGGAGACGGGCTGGGGACGCCCTGTAGGAGACGGGCTGGGGACGCCCTGTAGGAGACGGGCTGGGGACGCCCTGTAGGAGACGGGCTGGGGACGCCCTGTAGGAGACGGGCTGGGGACGCCCTGTAGGAGACGGGCTGGGGACGCCCTGTAGGAGACGGGCTGGGGACGCCCTGTAGGAGACGGGCTGGGGACGCCCTGTAGGAGACGGGCTGGGGACGCCCTGTAGGAGACGGGCTGGGGACGCCCTGTGGCAGACGGACTGGGGACACACCCCGTAGGAGACGGACTGGGGGCACCCTGTAGGAGACAGTCAGAGACTGGGGACACACCGCGTAGGAGACGGACTGGGGACACACCGCGTAGGAGACGGACTGGGGACACACCGCGTAGGAGACGGACTGGGGACACACCGCGTAGGAGACGGACTGGGGACACACCCCGTAGGAGACGGACTGGGGGCACCCCGTAGGAGACAGTCAGAGACTGGGGACATGTTACATGACACTGCCAGAGATTACTATTATTAAAGGCCTTTTACATATCAGTGCTGGGGCCCACCAGAGGGCTGCATGTGGCCCTCAAACACAGTCCGGAGTCATAGACCGCCACCCCCAATAAGGAAGCTTTCTTGGTGAACAATGCGCTCCATGCTCTGTATGTACTTAGTGAGTTTCATCTCTTTTATACACAATGTATATCTTTCCCCCATGGTTCGGATTGCTGTGTACAGCGGCATGGACCGGTGCGGGGTTTACCTCTGACGCCAGCGTGAGGAGACTGAACTACCATTTTATTTATAATCGTGGGGGAAGACGCCCTCCCCCTCCCCCTCCCCAGTGCCTTCACTTTTTTATAGGTACAAGACTAGAATCACTGTGAACGTTACCTCTCGTCTTCCTGTATCTGCCAGTATTGTGTGTTGTTGGTCAGTAGGGGGCAGTCTTGTTACGCGCCGTCTTTTTTTAGCCTCTCGTTGCAGAAGGAACTGGCGTTACGTTTCCTCATGGTTCCTCCTGGAGCGACGGGCTGCGTATTCCACATAATCGGCCCGCGTCTTATCAAGGCTGCCGCTTTAAATGACGGGTACCCTTTAAAGTGTGTCCCCCCCCTTAGTGAAAGTCAGCCTAGTAATGTGATGATGATCATGTACTGCTTTTGTACAAGGCAATAAATAACTTATTTTTCCGTTCCGGCTCGTCAAGTGTTTTTATTCTCGCGGTTTATGGTCTGGGGATGCAAAAACGTTGAACTTAATAGGTTTGTACACCCCAATGTTAAACTCAAGGGGTATGTACAACGTTGAACTTCTCTTATTTGTTCCCTTTTGGGCTGTTAATTATACCATTTTGTTGTATCTGTGTGATAAGTGCAAAGAATCTGTTGATCCTGCCAGAAATCAACGGAACCGATAACTTCCTGTAATGAGCTGACAACACATTGCCTCTGCTGCACTGAAATGCCAAACAGTGTTGTCAGCCCTGCCCAGTTCTACACTGTGGACTACAGAGGGGAGAGTGGGAGGTGTTCTGCAGTACTAACTCATTTCCTGTCCTTGGGTGACAACAATGATCTCCCATACAGTACAGTGAGGTAGCATTGTCACCCTAGGGCAGGAAGTGTCTTAATGGCAGGAACATGAACATAAAAGGGGGAAACCCTGAATGCAGAAAACAAATGCAGCCACCACATCTAAGGACGGGTAAGCTGCAATATATCATCTAGCGCTTTCCTCCGCAACCTGACTGGCCCCTCCCCTTTCAGTCATTGGATTCCAGTTCTTGCAATCATGGAGGCTCAGTATCACATGTGGGCGTTACCTAGTGTGGTCTTAATGCAAATACAGCCTGCCTAGGACCGCCCACTCCTCCAGACTGACACCCACCCATCAAGGTATTTGGATATTTGCATAACTCCTCCCAAGAGCCCGCCCACTGCTAGAATCTTAGGACAGGTAAGCTGCAAAATATCATCCAGCTCTTTCCTTCCCAGCCGGACTGTCCCTGGCCACTCCCCTTTCATTCAATGGATTCCAGTTCTTCCAATCATGGAGGCTCTGCATCACATGTGGGTGTTAACTAGGGTGGTCTGTGTGCACTTACAGCCTGCCTAGGAATACCTTCTCCACACTAACACCTGCCCATGAAGGCATTTTGATATTTGCATAACTCCTCCCAAGAGCCGGAACCCTACCCTGTACTTTGCTGTGAATGAGGACTGTGCCATATTCCCTGTTATTCCTCTTAAACATTATCTAGTTGCATAGCCGACACTGAAAACATGAAATTGGACTGACACAGACGTTCGGACACGCGTGTAACATGTTCAACAACAACTTTATTTGCTAATGTCTACAACAACTTCCTTTGCAGCCATGAAATGGTTAATTCAACGTCTATTCACGCCACCTTCCGCCTCCTCCCTCCCAGCGCGATGCTCTGCAGCATTTTTCGGGGCTGGAAGGATGGCGGGCGAAATGGTCAGATGTTCTCTCGCGGGAGTGATGCCCTGCTGCTCAGGGTGGCTCGTAGGAGCGATGCTCTGCAGCAGACGTGCGCTCGTCCTCCTCGCTGTCAGCTCTGCGTCTTCTTTGTGAGCGGGAGGCCAGTGTGTCGGCCAGCTCTGGCTCGCCAAGATCTCTGTGTCTGTACCGTGCCATCGGTCTGTACGCCCTGGTGCCGTCCGGAGGTAAACCTGCGGGGAGAGACGATGGGTCAGAGAGGAATCCCAACCAATTCTCTGATTCTAAACCTAAAGGGGACAAAATGGTTCCTCCCTCCCCTCCGAGTCTCACTCCTCCCTATACAGCCCCCTCCCCCATCCCTGGCACTCACCTGTGCCTCACTCCTCCCTATACAGCCCCCTCCCCCATCCCTGCCACTCACCTGAGTCTCCCTCCTCCCTATACAGTCCCCTCCCTCATCCCTGCCACTCACCTGAGTCTCCCTCCTCCCTATACAGTCCCCTCCCTCATCCCTGGCACTCACCTGGGTCTCGCTCCTCCCAATATAGCCTCCTACATCCCTGGCACTCACCTGTGCCTCACTCCTCCCTATACAGCCCCCTCCCCCATCCCTGCCACTCACCTGAGTCTCCCTCCTCCCTATACAGTCCCCTCCCTCATCCCTGCCACTCACCTGAGTCTATACCCGAGTCTCACTCCTTGCCCCCTTTGCCCTTTTTCTTGGCCTCGGTGCGCTGCAGTTTCTCCGCAATCTTCCTCTCGTGGCCGCCGGGACTGTTCCGGTTGGTGTTCTCCCTGGCCTCTTTTTTTGTGCGTCCCTTCCTGGCGGCGGTGGGCACTAGATGGAAAGAGATAGCAGGTGTCAGCTCGGGGGCTCCAGAAAACAAACAGTTAATTGCCATATATGGAAAGCGTGTGTCAATAACTAAGAACGTATACGTTATACATTGATCCTGCCGGCAACACACTTCCTGTCCTCGGGTGACAACGCTCACCCACTGTACTGTATGGGGGAGCAGCGTTGTCACTCTAGGGTGGGGGCTACAGATCACCTTTCTCTTTCTTCTTCTCCATAACATAGAGGGGAGATGGTCTGTAGTAAAACCGAGAACTGATAAGGGAAAGGGCAGCGAGTACAGGACGGTATCGGCAGGAGTCACGGGTATGTTATTGATACAATG